AGCTACCACAAGATCTTGTATATATTTCCCTGTGCTGTACAGTATAATCTTGTTTATCTAGTCTACAATTTTGAAATCCTGAGGCATATTATTGTTGCATCCAAAGTACTCGCACTGTTGGTTTACCAAATCATAAAAAATGTTCTCCAGTTGGTGTAGGTTTGGTGAACTCCTATATGTAGTTGGTGAGAATGTGATTCTAGGGGACAATTTGGCAATAAGTGTCAAAAGCCTTGAAAATATTGTACCTTTGACTCAGTGATCTCATTTCTAGACATTTACCCAGAAAATCATCATAAACTAGTGAAAAGACACGTAGGCCAGGAGGGATGTTCGTTGCTCTGTTACAGAAAATAAGAGAAAACTGGAAACAACCTAAATATCAAATAATAGGAGATGATTACATGAATTATGATACATGCATGCAACAGAATACTATGTACAAAATTACACATAGAATTATACTGTAGGTGAATATTTAGAAGCATGGGAAAATGTGCACAAGCCATAAAGCAAGACAGGTGGTTACAATAAGATCTGATCTTTGGAACATATTGTCCCATTTTTATGAATAAAAAATACAGGAGAGGGATGTAGCCTAAATATTTACCAGGCTGTTCTCTGGGTGTGAGGACAGAGGTCATTTTCATTTTCCTCTTTGTGGTTCTCTGTGTTCTCTGCAATCAATGTGAACTATGCTTGTAATTAGATTTTTAAATATATTTTTATCAGGGGCATTTTGCGCCTACTCCCTCTTCATAGTCTGATGTCAATTAATCTCTCAGAAATATGGAAAAGGGTCTTTGATCTCTGCCTGTCTCTCAGTCTTCTGGAGTGCAGTTTTCATGGACGGTGGGGAAATTTAGGTGGGTTTTGTTCGGACGATCGTGGCGGTTTTGCGGGGACAGGTGAGAGTCTGAAGGTAGTTGCACTTGACTGAAGGACAGCGTGCAGAGAGGTCAGCAGTAGCTCAGCCTGTCCTCTCCACCTGTAATGCAAACAGCCCACATCCAAGTTCAGCACAAAAACTTCCAGGTCTACAAACAGGGACCAGAGAGCGTGTCTGCCCATGAGCATTATGTAACTGCTGGGGTCTTTGTACACAGAATTACAAAGCATTATTTCCACATGCCAACCATGGAAGGAGTTCCCCTCTCTAGCGGATTGCCCGTGTTCCTCGCTTCAGAGCTCAAGCAGCCTCTCTTCCCCTGTCTTCTATCGGTTACAAGAGAATCTCCCAGGACAAGATTCACTCCAGATTCAAGGCAAGAGGAATCAGATCCCGCCTCTTGGTGGCAGAGTGGCAAGGCCATGTTGCAGGAGAGTAGGCAGGAGGTGACATGTGTTGCATCTGTCTTTGGTGCAAGGCTGTCTGGAAAGGAGATTTGGATACATAGGCCTGGAGTTACCAGACCTTCTAATCTTTCAGGAGCAGCCTGCAAAAATCTTAGTTTTTTAAATCTAAAGTCTCTCATTTTTTTAATGTTGGCAACTAATTCTGAACACTTCAAAGCCATAGTCCAACGTCACTTCATCCATAAAGTTTCCCCTTCTCTCCTTATGAGAGTGCCTGACCCTTCTTTAAGTGGTAGCATTTTCATTCACGCTGATAAAAAAACAAGTTTTCAACCTTTAGTATGGGCTAGGGGGAAAGGTGAGAAATAGAATGTCACTTAGAGAGGGGCGATGATGAAGTCAAGAGGAAGACGAAGTTGGTGATTCTAGCAAGGAAACCCAAGAAGGACCAGGGTTCTAGAGGAGAGAATAACAAAGCAGGTGGAGGTCACCCTTGACTGGAAAAGAGGCTGCGTCGTCTTATCCAAAAGGAAGGAAGGGAGGAGAAAAGAGAGTGAAGGAAGGCTCATCCCCTGGGAAATAGCACTTCGCTGCGTGCAGATGGTGTCCCGGGCATCGTCCAGGCCATCTTTCAGGACTGGGGGCACCCGTCAGCCCAGTCGTGAGTCTTCGTGGTGCTTATCTTCTCGTGGGCTGCCCTGTCTTCTCAGGGGGGCCGGGTGTGTGCTGAGGATGAGATGGGAGCTGGTGAGGGCGCTGAGGGCCCAGAGGTGCCCAAGGGTAGGAGCCGCCACCGAGGGCAGAGGGCCAGGAGCTCTCTGGAGCAGATTACCAGCCCTGCAGAGATTTCTGAGCTCAACCTCACAAGCAAGGACCCGTGAGCAGGGAACTTCCGAGGTCCGGGAGCCGGGACACCAGAACACTTAACGTGATCCTGTTAATTAGAGCAGAGGAAGGCCAGTGGGGTGAGGGATGAGAAACCTTCAAGTGGTGTGGCGTCAGGGGTCAGCCAGTGGAGCCCAGGATGGGGACAGATGCTCCGGGGCACGGCCCTTCGCAGGAGACCAGAGGAAAGAGGTACAACTGAGCCCAGGGACCACGCCCACCTGCTGGCTCGGCCAAGAGCCAGCATCATGCCCGCGGCCCAGGCTGCCCGAGTGACGGTCTGCCTGGCCAGGGGGTAATGTCGGCCTGTACCTCTGAGAAGAAAGTTAGCCCCCGGTAGTCAAATTACACTTTAAGATACAGAATTAATGATGCTAACCAACTTTTCATTTAAAAGGAGAAACAAAATATTCATGTGACTTTAATATTTGTTCCAGTTATTAAGGACCTGAAGGAAAATTAACAGCTGCAACTTAACTGAGCAGAATGTAGGCTTTGACACATTCTGCAGCCGTATAACAAGCAACGGCTTTGCTGAAACTCCCATTTTCCTAAGAGATGAGCAGTTAGAACCAGGCTGTCACAGAGGAAGCAAAGATTCACAGGGAAGACCATTACAGAGCATCACTAAATGAATAAAAAAGGATTCACCATATACTAAAACTCAAAGCAAGAGAACTTTTTTTGTTTTTTCCTGAGCCTACAGGTACTGGATAATCAAATCAGTTCTTTCTCGGACACCTTATGTAAGAGTATTCAGAAAGTTGCTTAGTTTCGGTGAAATGAGGCGTACCTTCCCAAATTTCATTTCCAAACTTAAATTTGAACCTGGAATAAAATTCAATTCCTCACTCACCAAGCTATGCATCTGCTGGAAGCAACTTTGCAACCAATTTTCTATTGTACAGCAGAATCAATGCCAGTTCATCCTGATGTTTCTAATCAACATGTCTTATTTTCTTCTCTGTTCCCATAACTTACAATTATTTGTGGTGCTCTCCAAACAAACCCTTCTGTTCTTCTTCTTAGAGCCTCCTTCTGGCTTGCAATTTATATATGTGGAAGTCATTTGAGGCTAGAGATCACTGATCTATTACTAAACAATTCTTTGGGTCCTCAAGAACCCCGAACCATTTAAAAATACCGAGTTCTGTCTCTTGGGCTCTCCTGGTTCAGAGACAGTGTTTTAAAGAAAAGTTTAAGTTCTTAATTAGAAGGCCAAACACAGAGCCATATAATTTCTTAATTTGAATTTTGAGAAAACAAATCATTGTCTTGGTGCCACCACTGTTCTCTGCTAAAATAATTTCCACAAATGCTGGAGGACCGAAATATTTGATTCTTGCTCAGAAATCTCATCCAATAATTTGGCATTGGCACTCTCCCTCCGGGCCTTCAGCACGAGGCTGCTTCTTACGCGGCCCTGCCAGTCCCCCATTCTTCATCCCTTTGGGGTTGTTTAAAATATACGGGCATATTTTCAGCTTGAAAATATTGAAATAAGTTTTTATAATTATTGAGGTTTGAGTTTTGGAGAGCCAACTTCTCAAGTGGGCATCAGACCATGGAACTTCTTGAGAAAGCAGGCAGTCTTCACGCACCTAAAATACTGGGGGGCCGAGTTGGTCTGACACTACAAGTTATGTCCACGGCAAACTCAATCCAGAACCTTCCTACTTGTTTTAATCTCTCCCTTAATCTGAACCATGCAAATTCGCGGGGTAGCAGCCTCCAAACTAAGGAGCCAGGCAATCGCCAGTGCTTAACTTAATCAGTCACGTGGCTGAATCAAAAGACAGCACAAAGACCCAGAAAAATTCTCACAGCACATGAACTCAGTACAAGCGAGGGATCGGGTTGGAACCCTTTTCCTCTGGCTAAGGTGGCCCCAGGTGATGTGAAGTGGTAATGTATTTTCCCAGGACATTTTTTCTCAGTGCTGAGTGGAGAAATGTAATTTTGTGGTCTCTCGAGCCATTCAACACCACCGCTTTTTGGCAAACAGAAAAATGCTTTCCTGCAGCACTCATGTCTCCATCCCCCTGGACTGAGTTTGCATAACAAAGAGAAAAAGCCCCACAAACTCGTGAGATGCTGCACGGTCCGTAGGTTTCCATTCCGTCTTCAGCTTTCCTCCATTGCATCTCCAAAAATGTCAAAGAGTGTTGCGAAATCCTCCAACCAAAACTGATTTTAATTCTTTGGTGTCAAAAACAAATACACATACAGCAGTTGGCGGCAGGGGTGGGGGTGCAGGGGGCTAGTGAGGGAAAGGTTGTGAAATAAATAACTGTTTTCCAGCCTAGGTGGTCGTGACACCCCCGAAATTTAGGGATGACGTCTAGGAACTGCCACTTAAAGATTTACCCACTTGGGAGATGTCAGGATTAGCGAATGCACTCACAACTGGAGGGAGGGCCATAAGGCGACAAGGAAAGCTGCCTGCTGGGAGCCGTATTAGAAATGAATTTCCAGTAAGATGGCAGCAGATGGGGATGGGGGTGGGGTTTTAATAAGAAAACATTCTGCAAAGAAAGTTGAGTCTTAAAGGATGTTTACACCCCTTCTCTTCATTCAGGCCACCCAGAGAACTTGGAGAAGGAGCAAGCTTTGTCAGTCACCCCAAAATGTAGACACATTGAGCCATCCCTTCCCTATATCCTTTCTCCTATATTTTCTTCTGTGTTCAAAGACAGATTGAAGTAATTTATAAAGAGAAATTTTAAAAAGAAGTGGTTTTATGCATAGAATATAATTTCAGAGAGATCTAATGTGACACAAAGCCACTTATCAAAAGAGACAAAGACAACACAATTAGCTTTACTTGAGCAACGCTTCCTCTGTTTCAACCTCAAAAGGGCTTCTCAGAGTCTGAGCGGTTAGAGCTGAGGGCAGGGCAGGTGTCCACCAGGATACACCCATAAGGCACAGCAGCCATAGTCCATTTTGACTGGTTGAAGTCCGTCATGAAATATTTGTATTATTGCTGTTGATGGCTTCCCTGTCTCTTTGAGGACAGCGAGGCTTAAAACAAAAGACAACAAAATGAAGGACATGAGTTTCAGGAGGCTGATTTGGAAGCTCTGTTCCACTACTAACAGTGGGAACTTAAGCTTCAGTTTCCTTCCTTCCCCTTCCCTCTCACCCACTGTGATACAAAACATCTCGGGTAACGTGAACAATATTAACCTCTCGAACTGGGTGCAACAGCATTTCTTGTCCACTGGTCACTTTGCAAGCAGGTGAAAAGGAAACCAACCAAGAAACATCAACCCAGTGGGGGACATGTCTCCAGGGGCCTTTCCCTTTAAGATAAACTAACTTAAATCAGCATTTAGATCCCTTGGTTGGTCTACATCTTGGCATTCAAGTTGGCAAGGCATTGCTACTCTCTTATAAAATATACAGTGTCACTAATAAGGAGATAATGTAGCTTCCTCTTATGTCTGTTGAGGTATCAGTTCTTAACTAGGCATCCGGTTCCCCTTTATATCATTGTCCCTTCAAGTGTGATAAAGATTGCTCATCAATTATGCACTCTCCCTCCCGGGGGTGGTGGTGGGGTGACTCCTGTGCCTCAGAGCCCAGAGGAAAATGCACCACCTGAGATGAGCCGAGATCTCTGAGTCATCAGGTTAGTTTCTCCCATGGTCTCCAAGAGAACTTTGAAAGTTCAGTTTCACAGCCACTACATATTTTATGGTGATGTCCCCATGTGATGCTCATATGTTTGTATTTGTGTACAAAGCCCTTTATTTTTCTAGATATAAAAACTTACAAATGAAGGGTAGCTGTCTTTACATTTTGAAAGACTTTCCTATTAAAGGAGCACTGGATTTAATCTCTCCTGCTCCAGAAAAAAGAAATGGAACCAAAGAGCAGAGTCCACAGGAAGGTAATTCTTTTTAAAAATAAGGAAGAATTTTCCTTAATAGTTTGAGCTACTGAAAAATGGAACTACTTGCTTTAGGATAGTGGGACCAGTTACTGGCACTGGAAGAAGACACCCCTAACACCGTATTTCAAGAGAATGGAGGCCATTCACACGGGAAGTTAAAGTGCGCCAAGTGTCTACCATGGTCCCTTCCAACGCAAAAGCCAGTGGGAACTCCCAGCTGTGAGGCATTCGTTTCCCCCATCGGGAGTCAGCCCACTCGCTGGAACACAACAGACTCAGTATCACATCCTCCTTCATTTGTTCAAGTCTTCCCTTACTCCCTTTAGTTTTATAGTTTATTATTTTCTTTGTAGAAATAATTGGCTTTTTGTTTGGTTTGGTTTCTGCTTTCTTTTTT